GGGGAGGGTGCACTGCAGTTGCGGCAGATTGCGGCCGCGGCAGAGGCGTCCCCGGAGGAGTCAAGACCCCTTATTCTTCCCCCCCTTAAACCCCCCTTACCCCCCCCCTTACCCCCCCTTACCCCCCCCCCCCCTTACCCCCCCCCCCGGGTCCCGCGACAGGCGGAGGAGGAGCGGGCGGCCGCCGTGGCGAAGGGGTGGGAGGCGGCGATGACGGAGGAGGAGAGGGCGGCGTGGCACGATCCCTTCGTTGAGGCGCACACCCCGCCCGACCCCTCCCGTGACCCAGCTCGGAAGCTGCCGACAGGTACGAGCCGTTCTTCGAGACGCACGCCACGCCGCCCTCCGACGAGCCGCCGCCGCTGCCCCCGCCGCTCGCCTCGCAGCTGACGACAGACGAGCACCTCGCGGAGGCGAGACGCAGCCGAGAGCAGCCGAGACGCAGCCGAGACGCAGCCGAGATGCAGCCGAGATGCAGCCGAGCCGAGGTGCAGCCGAGATGTGGAGCACCTCGCTGAGGCGGCTCGGTATATGCGGAGGGACGGGGCGGAGGGGCGTGCCCCAGGCACGTCCGCCACTTGCCGTCGCTTGCCCTGCAGGCACTCGCTTCGGTGGCGGCGTGCGCCCTCGGGGGAGTTGTGTGGGGCGCGCTGCGAGGCCCGACCTGCGGGAGGGGAGGCGCCGTCCCTGCGCCGGCCCTGAGCCTTCTCGCAGCCTTCCCGTGTAGGCCTTGCCCGCCGGAGGGGGGTGCTGCGCGCTGTCGGGACCACCGCAGCGGGCGCGGGGCTCTTCGAGGTTGGCCGCCCAGAGCCACTGGGCTCAAGCACGGCTCGCGACTCCTCTCCCCGAGCCGTCTCCACACCCTCCCTCCAGGCGGCGATGCAGCTCAAGCTCAGCTTGCGAGGCAGGCTCGAGGGGGACGGCGCCGACGCCGACGGCGGGGGCAACTTCGGCGGCGGCCGCGCAAACTACAGCACGCCCGTGCGGCTGGCTGCGGCGACGGCGGCGGACGTGCTGGTGTCGGCGCAGGTGCTGTGGCTGCTGCTCGCGCGCCTGAGGGCGCCCTTCGCCTTTGGCGGCTGGGCGCTGGGCCGGGCCGTCGTGCTCGCCAGCGACCTGATCGACGTCGAGCTCGAGTTTATGGACTGACGTGGCGCGGAGGCGCGGAGGCCG